CCCCGCCCACACCTGGCGCCCGGGGGGCGCCGGGGAGGTAGGCAATCTGTGCTCCCGCTGCGCGGCCCCGCCGTGCCGTGGTGCCTACCCCGCCCGGCGCTCTCCGTGCCGCTCCAGCCTAAAACGGTGAAATGAGATGGCAAATTTTTGATGTTCGGCGTCGAGACAAATGACCACCCTTTACGGTATCTCTCCATATTTCCGCGGGGAGCGGCGGCAGCGGAGTAGCCGGTCCAGTATGACACATGCCGGATGCCTGGCGGAGGCTGCGCGCTTACTGCCAGAGGAACGTCGGCACGTCCGGTATTTCCATTATCTCGTGTTGGCTCCGAGTTTGTCGCCGCGCCGCGCCCCGTCACGACACCGCCCGGGCGGCCCGGCCGCCGCCGCTTCTTCTCCTCGTCGTCCACAAGCAGGCAAAGTAAGGCAAGTTGTTCGTGACGGTGCCGCTGCTGCGCGCCGGCCTTGCCACGTGACGGGAGACGGGACGGGCGAGGCCTTCAGTACATAGAACACTGACAGCGGCGGCGGGAAGCTTCACTCAAAAACTTCCACGCCAAAATGGGATGGGAGAAAGAAGAAGAAGAAAAAAAAGATGAGTAAAATGAAACGTGGCTCGTAAAGGGAGAGTTTAATCGTAGCGGAAAATTACATCGCGGAGCGCGAGGGGCCCGGGAGTAATGTGTTTGCCAGGCGGGGCGGGGCGGGGCGGGGCGGGGCGAGGGCGGCCGAGAGCCGACTGTCGTGTTGTTCTCTGGTCCTGCACCGAGTGCGACCTGGTGCAGCATCCGTCCCCGGCCCGGAGCGGGGCTGCCGCTGCGCGCCGTGTGCGGTCAAGGGCAGAGAGATCCCCATCGCGCAGCGAAAACAATCCGGGGGAACGTAAACAAGCAGTGATGTTTCATTAACCTGCGCGAGCCCCACACGGGGCCCGACCCGGCCCTCCCCGTAGTAATCTCGTTTATGTATTTCACGCTCAATTTTTCCCGCCGCGCGTGACCTCGGCGTGGGCGTGCCGGGCGTTGCTGGGCGTGCTTTAATTACCACACCTTGCTGCCTTGCGCCCCATCCCCCCCCCCATGCGCGTGCAGGTGGTGCCGCGCGGTAGTGGAGGAGAGAGGCCCTGCTGCTCTCGGCCTGTTCACCCCTCACTAACCTTCCCCTGACCCCGCGCACCCCCAACCAGAGCAAGGATCGCTGCGCGGATGTGCTATGAGACGTCGTGTGGGTGCCTTACTTTGGCGAGGGCGGAGGTAGGTGGTGGGGTTGGAAACGCAAAACCTAAACTGTCGAACGTGATGGAGAAAAGCGGTTGTATTGATCAAAATGAAGGAAGCATTGGTAAAGTTAATTTTGGTATATGAAAAGTTGTTTTTTTTCAAATCCATTTGAATTACAATTATTGCCGTTTTCAAACCCTTTCTTAACGTGTTTTCAGCCGCAGATCGCGCCGTACTGCTGTCCAAGGTGACCGCGGGCGAGGAGGACCCCGAGGAGGCCGCGGAGCGCCGCAGCCAGTGCTGCTGGGTGCTCGTGCTCGTGCCCAGCTGCTCGCTCATCCTCACCGCCGCGCTCGCCACGCTCACCGTGGGCGCGCTCATGGCCGCCTCGTGCTCCGTGCAGGCGTGAGTGTTGTGCCGCTTATCTCGCTGTTGTTTACGTATTCGTCTGGGTCGGGACCGGCCGGGCCGGGCGGACCGCGCTGGACGAGGGTCGAGAGTTGTAATTACGTATTGTGACTCCCCGCCCAGTTGACCCTCTCCGTGAAGAAGCGGGGAGGTGCTCCTAGCGCCCCTCCACATCCTCACCGTCTCACCGTGTACCCACGTTGTTTGCTCACAGGCAGTACGAGGAATCGTGTCACGTGGTCCGCGAGGCCATCCTCAACTCCACGAGCAAGGACCTCCTCCTACCCCGCTCTTCTTTCAGGGTGAGTGCCTCGGGTCCAACAAACTCGCTGTGTTGATGGTTTAAATTAACATTTTTTGTCCCATTTGTTGTTGTTATTTCATTTGACACCCTTCGCTCGGGCCCTGCAGGTGGAGTCGGCGGACTCGACGCACGTGACGGTGCGCCACATGTCCCCCGTGAACGGCGCCCAGTACCACGTCTACTTTCTGCTCAAGTCGGGCGAGGACCACTCCTGCACGTGTCTGGTGAGTATCTGAGGACCCCATCTTGCGTGTTGGCCGGACTGGGTAAAGCCGACAGCGCACTGACAGCCCGGCGACAGGCCCGGCTCTGTGGGCGGGGGCGGAGGCGGACAGGGCAGGGCAGGACACCAGTGAGCACGTCGCCGCCGACACCGCCGGCCTTATATGCGGAGCCTCGTGCGGAGCTCCTCCGCCCCCC